CACTCCTAATAGATTGTACAGTACACGTATTGTAACAGTAATTATCAATCATATTAACATGCATCAGTAATGACAAAAGCATCACAAAAAAGCGCCATCATTAGTAGTAGTTATCACTTTCATTTGCAAGACTAATTAAAATGTTAATTTTTCAGGAATCTCATAATGTGGCATGGGCTGGTGATTTCATGGAATCGCAGGGACCTGACTGGCACAAAAACGGACGAAAAATCCGTGCACATGCCGCGAGTGGGAAACCGAGCAGCTATTACGGAGTGACGTATTCACTATCTACCACGGTAGGTAGCGGCTATACTTCTCCGAAACCGCCGCGCGATTTCCTGCGCAAAGCGTGTGTAGGACTCCTCCCCCGCTAATCCGACTGGCACGGGCAATTTGTAAGTTAATATGAGCGGGTCGGATCATTCACAAGCACAAAAACGTCGAGATTGAAAAGCTCGAGCGACTAGTTAGTTCAAGAAATATAAAAAGTACAATCTGGAAAAGGCCTAATGTGAAAAAAAAACTAAAAGCATCACAAGATAATCAAAGGAAAAACAACGAAATAAGAGAATATGCGGTAGACGTGTCCCGTTTTCACAAAGCATATAAGGCGTGTAGAGGGGGGAATCGCAAAAAAAGTGATCGATTATCGATTAGTGATGGATAGAATGTTCTAGAATGTCTAGCACTATGTGTATTCACTGCCTGCACGTAAAGCATTGATCTCATTTTCTCTGGCACGAATTTGAGGACTATGTACGCCGTTTGCGCGTACACCATTTACATACGACGCCTCGTACTCGTCGACAGCTGAAATTCATCACGGAAACATTTAGTGATAGGAATAAAGAGGACATGAAGACAAATGAAATGAAACAATTGGATTAATACTGTAATTGCACCCAACCACAGCACACCGGGATCCATAACGAGAGGTGGGGGGAGAGTGCGTTTGGCTGCTGGAGGGGGGCCGTAGTTGCCTTTGAGAGTAATCATTTGATTTGGTTTTTGGCTTTTCTCTTTTTCGAGTGCGTTTCCCCCTCTCCACCCCCTCCCCCCATCCACTCTCGACGGCAGTTTTTTCTTGTAAGGAGGGGGGGGGATGGGAGAGATGGAGAAGAAATGAACAGAGTTCAGCAGCTAGGGAATGGGGAAGTGGATGGGGGGGCCTGTTCGTAGATTCAGAAGGAACTTCTGAGGAGGCGTCCATCCTTTTGAGAGCGGGCGTCAATCTTTTGCAAAACTTCTTGCGCAAACAAGCAGCGAGTGCCTCTACACCAAGCGTTACTGAAATTTGATGACCACATTAATTTCGATCGTGCAGCATAGAAGCAGTAATTCGATTTCGGAGCTGACATTCATTCAGAAGGTACAGGGCAGTATCGGAGCTGGCCCGAATTTAACTCAATGTTCGAGACCAACTCCCAATTTGAACCTATCTCTCACCTATCATCGCTCCATCCCAAAAAAAAAGTCCAAACGGGCTTGGTCGTGGGGATTGGTGTACATCAGAAGGCAGGACAACTATTTTCATGAAATTTGCGACCGCACACCTTAGGTCACATCTACAGTCGTCATCCTTGCACTTGATAGTCAAATGTCAGTGCGGCTGCGTGCGGCGCGGTCGCCCGCACCCGTACTGCACCAATCGTTGAACCAGGAAGTGACATTACTGTATTATATCCTTCGTGTTACTCGTTTTCTATCACTTTTTGTCGCATACGCGTTTCAACGAAAAGGCTGAGAAGGCTTCAAACAGTGTGCACGCTCCTTCTCGCCGACACGCCCCTATCAAGTGCAAGGATGACGACTGTATAAACGGAACATCTACAGTCAGCGGGCCAAATACGACCGCGCCAATCCAGGACCGGCCACAATTATATAAGTTTCGCCAAACAGGAGCGAACCCGTACATAAAGCTCAAGCGCATGGGAGAAGCAGTTTCTGAATCTACAACCAGAACTGTAGCATAGTCACGCTCCCGACGGCGGCCCACCGGGAAGGTGTTTCCAATCTCGCTTACGATCAGTACATTCTAAGATTAACTCTCTAGCCACTCAAATTCTGACGCGGTTTGGATGTCATAGGCTACCCACCCCAGCGATGCCTTTTTCATTGTTGCAACTTTCGACTTGATGGCAAAAAGATATTTCAGAAGGCACATAACGCGGTGATCATATGGGCTACGTCATTTTTTCTGGACCATTACGCCTTTCTCATTAGTGCACTCCTTCTCTCATCGTCTTGAAGGGAGTGGACCAATGTGAGGGAAGCTTGTGCTGGACCGACTCCGCCCATAAGATCAGCGTGGAATGTGCCTATAAGATTAACTATGTGTTATGTGGAAGTGCATTTGCACCCAACGAACACGAGTGTGATATAAGATGAGAAAACAACGCATAAAATCAACAATGAACAGTGCGATGACATCCTGAACCGGTCATCCAGTCGTTGAACTACAATCACACACTGAACGTTTCACATGCAACCTTCACCACCGGGAATTTCGTGGCAGCAAAACGAAATGTCTATCGAAACAAAAAACGTGAAAATCACATACAATAGGCATGCGAAATTGTCATGCCATTCAAAAGGACTTGGATTTCTCGAAGACGTCACTATTTCACTTTGGCGAGACTTATGACGAGGCAATCTGGTGACTGCAAGAGGTTTTGCTTTCCCTCGAACTATGAATGGAATCCTTAGCAACTCACGAATGCAGCATCCCTAATAAACGAAATGTGTTATGGTCCAGTGGCAGATTCCCTTCCCGCTCCAACAGGGGAAGGGGCAGTTTTGCGAGATCAAAGCTGCAGCGACGGGCCACAAAACATAACAAGACGTTTTGCTAGCTAGTTGAGGGAAGCTACAGCAACATTCATGTTAACTAATGTCAGGTTCCTGTGGCTAACTGTCAGGCGTATGACATTCAACTTGGCCTACATGGGTCGCCAGCAAATATCCCTCAACCATTTCCTCAAATGAGTCTTCTCAATACTGCTAGTGCAGTAAGTCAACATATACGATCAGATGCAATCAGTGAAGCGGAGCGCTGGTTAGATGGCTAAGTGACACGCTTACGCATGCGTGCGGGGGGGGTCTGGGGTTAATCCCTGGATCGGTCGCATACAGGCCATCAAGCCTTCACTCGTCTCCGCGACGGTGAACTGCTACGCGATTGCCTGGGAGCGATAAAAACTCTGATTTGTAATTCGGACACATCCCGTAAGTCATTGTGTAAGCACCATCGCAATCAAGTTCCATCGCACGGCTTTTGAGTGAAGGAGTGTAGTGCGGCGGGCGCAGCCCACAGAAAGGGATTGATCAACGGCGACTTCTACTCCGGCAGAAGTATAATTTGCCGTATTACCGCACAGCGCGCTATCAGGATTCAGAGTATTACAAGGAACTAATCTCACACAAGGGAACAAGACACACACCTCAGTATAAGCGGCTAATGAAGGGCATAATAAGCATGAGAATTCTAACGAATAGGGCAAGCGGCACAATTGTGGTTAGTTTCGCTACCTCAGTAGCACAACAGCTAGCATCGCATATATGATATACGTCGCTGCGCTACCAGCACTTGCGCCGTTTCTTCACAAATCAATCAATCAACACAACAATTACATCTGTGACGAAATACGGTTCTTGCGGAATCGGTTCTCATTGCAGTCATTGCAGTTTAGTGTATAGTTGGCAGAAGGGTGGTTGTGCCCCCCAGGATTCTCCAGTTACTGGTAGAATTTTTAAAAGAGACTGTGAGCAAAAAGATCCAGAACGTAAATGTGCACAGCGTGCGGAGAGCACGCAGAAGATTTATTGAACCTCGTGCTGTTCACTAAGTTTAGACCCTGATTGTCTAGCATTGGCACTCGGGAGGGCATACTCTAACCACACTGGACAGCGCAATAACTTGGCGTATTTTCAGCAGTGCTCCGAAATAGTGGCCGAGTCCCGGATCGCTGACTGGGCCAACCGACTCTTCTATCCATCTTTCAAGTAATGTGGTACCAATTCCGCGCGAGAACGTATACTCGAAATCCCTGAGATCGGGTAGGCGTGGCTGCATTTCAACTTAACCTGAAGGTGTCTATGCTTCTGGTGGAATATTTCCATCTTGACACAACTGTTGTCGTGTCTCTGTCCAACACAGAACAAGATGACAGTTGTCCCAGACTGGAATATTCCACGAGTAACCAATTCCGTGCCATGTTCAAATGCCACGCCTACTCTGGCTCAGGGATAAGGAGTGTAAAAGATGTTGATCAGCCGGCGTTCCACAAGTCTTTCTATGGGCCAAAAAGCACCTGAATATCACTGCTATTCAGAGTGGAAGTCGAGTTCGTAGCGCATTTTAGAAAAAAACTGATGTACGCTGGATGCTTTGCCCCCTATTGTCTTTCCTTCAAGAGCTACTGGTAACGAATATGAACGAAATGAAACCAAAAATCACGTGCTTAAGCGGTTAGAATCTCCTCCACCACAACCAAAGCTAACTGTCGGTTAGACTGTCCACTACACATATGCCTGGATGACCGTGAAAACCAGGAATCACCTCCGATGATTCGAATTATAAACTTCAAAGAAGGGAGGGAAGTTGAATTGTCGGAAACATAATATGGTCCTGAAAAGGGTAGCTTACTGGGGTATTTCTAAATAGGCTTTGCAACGAGGGTGAGGAAATCCGGGTTGCGGCGGCGCGGCGTTACATGTGACGTCGCGCGACCAGTGATCGTAATGCGGTCAGCAGCGACGACAACTTACTACGCCGCTGCCGCAAACTCGGACCTGGTCTTGCCTATTTCTGAGATCGGTTACCTCAAATGGAGGAATGCACTGGGTGTACCTGAAACCGGGCTGGGAACAGGGCGCAAAACGAGATCAATAAAAAACGTTGGTGAAACGAAAACAGAGGACATACAGTGCGTATCTGGAATGGACATGCTGGCATGCAGGTAAGTAGAAGCAAATTGGGTGAGTATTAGACGTTCAGTTCAACTGGATGACTCGTTCGGCCGCATACTTTCGTCATGTTGTGCTGATTCAGCCAGAAGAGGTACCGTACTTCCACGTGTAGTTGACGAAGCCGTGCCGTTTATCTCGTCCAAAGTGGCGTAGTCGTCTGCAAATACGGACATCAAATCGCTGGTAGCAAACAGTAGGGCAAGACTAGCAAAATTGTAGGTTCAAAATTCAATGAAGTCCATTTTGGCTCCATGGTGGGCGGCTAAAGTATGCGTTCCTGGTGACTCCGCTTCTGATTTTAGGTCTGGTACGGCTAGGGGTGCAGTTCGGCGACGGGGGGGGGAGGGAATTCCGCACTTTCACAGCTCACCAGTTCCGAGTTTCCAAGTCTCACTCTGGTGAAACTTGTGAACTCTTGTGAAGCTGAGCGAGCTCATCGAGCCATCACGGTAAAACCATGTCAACTCTTGTAAACTCATAAAACAGCTAAAAAGATGGCCTGACACGTTGATGGTAAACAATAAAAGTGCAAAATGCCCCCCCCCCAACGCCGTCGCTGAACTGCGTCGAGTTGCGATATACCTTGAAGGCAGTTGGCACGATAAATCCCCAAGACGAGTAGGATTAATACGCCTGGCAGGACGGAATTCCGCGACCGCTGCATAATGCCTTTTCCAAGGAAGGTGCCCTTATAAGGGCCCTATCAAGCCACAATCGGATTCATTTGCTAAGCAGATTACGAAGCGAAGGAATTGCTATGAAGCGGCGTGATTGCTGGCGCATGGCATAATATGGGTACACATATGCAGCCGTATCTTCGGTAGCGGTTGTTGGCAAGATGCCTACGGGAAACTCGTCCGAAATCGATTTTCAAGTCATTGAGAACGGAGGCTTTTCTTCGCAGGATTTTGACCGTTTCACTCCGTTCTTTCGCCATTTCCCCACTATATAGCGCCCTACTAGCATTTTAGGCCGAGCACCAAATCATCGTGCCAACTGCCTTTAACAGACTAAAAAACCCATAATCTTGTTGCAACTATAGCCAACAGAATGTGAATTGTTCACGCTTTTCAATACGATAGTCTTACTCTGCGATCGATCCGTGCGAGATCGACCCCGAATCTTCTTCTCTTCAAGGGCTTCTTCTTCAGCAGTTAATTCTGCTCTGTCAGGATCGACCATCATAGACTGTCTTGAATACAGTGGGTTGTTGAATTCAGTGCCTTCGTCGTTGTTGACGGCATGGAACCTGAAGAAAATCTATTAGCACAAGGTCTTGTTCGCTACGAATACTATGGGGTGCCAGCGAGCTGGATTTGGCACGGCGCCCGTCTGTTCTCATGTTGGAAGGACGAGCTACAACATGCAGGTGGAAACTGAGCTGGCGTCGCCCCATACGGATAACAGCACTAGTGTATTGTAAAGCTTACACAACGGTCGGAACATCGGGTTCCTTTTCGCGGAAGTATTTTCGTCGATAGTAAAGCATCATCGAGACAAGCAGCACTGATGCTAATCCAAAGACGACCAGAGCGAGCACAATGATCCCTGCACGTGATCCACCTTCACCCTGTTGCCGTTGGAATTCAAGTACTGGAACGAAAATCATTACCCAGGAGGTAGAAGCAAGAAAGGCTCTTGAAAACTTGCTCACATGCTTGTCCACAGCTCAACTGGTCCGCATGACAGCAGCCTATAGCTGCATCACACTCGTAGCCCACGCCACAATCACCACATTCTCGAGCACATCGCAGGCCATAGTGACCCTTGGGACATACTGAAACAGACATTTGGGTTAGCATTCAATTGAAGGAGGAAATCGTTTCTCCACTTACGAGCATGACAGAATTCTCCAGTGAAACCAGGATGGCACTGGCAGGCACCAGTGACGCGATGACAGCTTGCTGACGATGTGCCTCGACATTTGCATTTGTTGATACAATCCGGACCATAGAAACCGTCTTCGCACGGTACATTACAGCGATCACCTTGCCAACCTGGAAAGAATCATTGACGTGTAGGATAGCTGTTATACTGGCAAAACTTACCAGCAGGACAGGCACACTCGCCAGTGTGAGGATCGCATTGCTTGAATTCTGAGGCACAAGTGCAGTTTCTCGCACAGCCCAATCCCCAGAAACCGGCAACACATACTGGAAAACAAGGGCGATTTGATGTGACCCTACATTGAACAGTGTTTAGACTTCGCAATGAAGCGTATCGATGCGTCGCAATAGCATTAGTGCTCCATTACTATAAACTGAAACGGAGCCATAGACGGGTATCGATCGGAGCGGACAGTTAGTGTCTCAAGATAATATAGAAGAGTGGGAGAGTATTAGATTGCGCGACCGAGCAACTGCAGCTTCCTGCATCAGTAGCGCGTCGAATGGCATAATCGCGAAGTTTGAACGCTGCCTCACGCGAAAAAGCAGCCCAGCACAATTCTTGCATGAGCAGCTCCAACACATTAACCGACAGATTCGGAGTCCGCGCTGGTCACTCCTAAGTGTGAGTGGAGTCAAGCAAATCAATAGGTATCCGTCAATGGTGCGCCCTCATTTCTAATACCTCAGACGGAAAGTCTTACCACAATTACAGATCTAGTCCCGCCCTTATTATTAGCATGAAATCAGAGCTTAACCTGGGCACGATTACTATAAATAACTTCCGTGGGATCGCGCTCAAAACGGGTTTGGAAAGCACTATGTGAAGCATGTCTATGGTACTTCAATAGATCTATGCAGATCTGTCCCAGTTTTCTTATAGGCTCCTTTGTGGGAGGGCAGGACATTGAGAGGCCCAGGAAGCGCCGTGATCTTGGCGGGAACTAGGGTGTATATAAGAGTTGTGGATGCATGGATTAAAGGCCTCTCTGTTTTGACCGCCGAGTCGCGGTGCTGCCTCACCCCCCTCGATTTGGACCCACCGAGTAGTCCTTTTACTATTCACTTTACTGTTCATTTGATTTCGTTTATTTCATTGTAAAGCATTTGGTTAATAAATTGTTGTCGTAACACTGTCTTTCTTGTGCTCACGAAAACCGTCACTGTCGGTGTTCTACTTGATTGAACTGCCGGGCACACATCCGGTACATGGGGGCCGAACCGATCAAGTCGAATCGATTGTGACTGGCTGCGTGGTAGCACATAGAAGACAGAGAACGGTCAAAGGGGACCGCATAAGCCGAACTGGAGAACCAGCGTGGGGGAAGTTTGAGAATCGCCGACAAGTGATCAGGAAAGGCGACCCCCAGCTCGGTAGTGATTGAAAACTGTTCAGATAGGGAAGGTGAGGAGCCTCAGCTGGGACGCAAAGTAAGCCGTCCAAGGGCTGGTAGAGGAGGCGAATCAAGCTAGGATTCGCCGGGAACTTTCGAGAAAAGGTGATCTCTTGTTGGCTAGGGGCCAAGAGAGGGAACCCCAAGAGGGCAGGGACGCAGAGTAAGCCGTCCAGGGAAGTGAGAAGCCTTTACAAGAGTGAGGTGTAAGGCGGTACACTGTGTTTTGTGGTGTTCATTATTGCGTGTTATCGATCGATATCGTCGCGATAAAACTCGGCGTCGTGATATTGACATTCGTGATATTGATCGAAGTAACATTGTCTATTGCAGAATAAGTGAAGAAGATGGAGAACCGCCGCGAGGGCGATGTTGATGAGAACGGTCCGCCTCAGGTTAGTGATCAAAGATTTGAGGTTAAGCGGATAACAGATGAGTTGGATAAGGTGGGAGATGAGGTTAAGCAGTTACCGTTACGGGTTGAAGAGAGCTATCGGAGGCACGTATAGCCGGGGAGTATATAGGAGCCAGGAGTAGGAGCCAGTTGATGGTTCGTGCAGTCATACTAGCCGGGCATGTACAATGTTGGAGGACATAAGAGCGAGTGTGGTAGGGCATGAGATGTTGTGGCAAGGACCTGTTGCAGACGCTTCAGGATAAGGGGATAGAAAGTATGACAGAAAGGGATGGTGAATTATTAGCAGTAATATGTGACATGTTCCAGACTGACGCGCGCACATACGTGGAGTACTCAGCGAAATCCAGGCTTCGAGGAGGAACATTCGAAGCAGCAAGGAGCTCAATGAAGATGAAGAAAAGATGGACACCGAGCACGATGAAGGTCGGTCAATGGATAGGAGTAATAGGATAGCTCTTTCATCAAACAGAGACTTTGTTCAGATTCTGCCACGGAGAAGTCGGACGTCACCGATTGGAGCAGCTTACGCGCCAGCCTCGAGGCAGCATTCGGAGATATCGGGACGACAAAGCGGCACATCAGGTCAGGATGCCTTGAACTTTATGGCATACATTCAAGCCAATGCATGCATAAGCCCTGGGATATTCAAGAGGGAATAAGGGCGACAATTTTGAAGAATTCATAAGACGATTTAAACGAAAGTATAGGACTGTTATTTTTGATGATCAGATTTCGGTTGACGATCATCTGGGAGGCAGGGCTAAAAGTGTCTTTCTCTCGTTGCCTAGGAATGTAAGAGAGCAAAGTTTGAGACAGTGGTGGAAGAACTGAGGAAGTTATTGGCAAACGATTCAACGGCGGGACGATTAAAGGCAGCGCGCGTTCAAATTTAATGAGTATGCGGCTCAGGTAGTAACAGCGAGGTAGCAAGAAGCCTATTAGTGAAGAAAAATCGAAGAGAAAACACGCAAAATGCCCTAGAAGGAGTTTCATACCGAACAACGGTTGTACGTGCTTAAGGCGAAGAGGAGTGATTGCACGAGTTTCCACTTGTTCATATCAGCTGTTTTCCCTTACCTCACTCTCACCACTCCACGTGGAGAGAAGCAGCAATGGAACAACCGCACCATCAGGCAACCATTAGAAATGAAGTTGGGTGGCGTGGTCGGCAGGTGGGCGGAGCCGTCGGCTCTTTGCGGGCGGACGCCGCTGTTCCGTCGCATTTTTGGGTTGCGAAACATGCACGTCCACCATCCTCATAGGGGGAGCTACTAGATCCAGAGAGGGCGTGAGAACAACAAATGAACGCGGGCGCTGCCTTTAAGGGCACTTGCCGAGTTACGAACCTTAAGGCGGAGATGGGATCAAAGTGTAGCGGATTTTTGTCTTGCACTGGAGAAACTTGGTCGACAGGCTAACCCCTCTTGTAGCATAAAAGGATAGATCGCTTGAGTACGCTCAGATACTTCTGGACAATTTGACGGATTGGCCAGAACACGTCCACCTACTGAGCACGCTACACAGGGTAGACCCCACTGAGGCGTATGACTCCGTCAAGCAGTTGGCTCTGAGCATAGAGCAGTCGAAGGCGATATGGACTCCGAGAGTGGGCACGCGCAGAGATGGATGGAAAAGGAGGTCAGCTGCGTACCATCAAGAAGAGAGGAAGCGAGAGCTCGAGCTAAAACCCGTTCAGGACAGAGGGCATAGCGAAGTCAATTTGAATGATGGGCCCAGGCAGGGGGCCAGCAGGCATCCAGACCCAGTGAGGAGTTTCGGAATGGTGGGACTAGGGGTCTCGCTGAAAGAGAACAGGGAGGTCGTAGCGAAGGAGGCAGCGATAGAAGAAGATGCTACAACTGCCAGCAGATAGGGCATATTGGGAAGGATTGTCCACGGAGGAGACCCCGCGTTAACCAGATAGTGGATACGTCCAACAATACGACAAGTGAGTCAGAAGAGAACCGTAAGAACATGACAGGATTGATCAAGAGTGCGCGGAGCCTTGGCATAAGAGCCACGGCGACATGAGTGGACCCTTAATAGGTGAGATATGCTCAGCATGGGTCAGCATGTTGTCAGCTCGGGTGCGCGCCGTGCTTGATACGGGTTCAATGATTAGCATAGTACCAATAGCTGTGCTGGCACAGGCACAGAGAAGTGGCTTTGACGTGGACAGTTTAGAGATGATTTCTAATTCAGACATGGTTCCAGTGTAATCGCATTTTGATGCGTCATACACTGGAACCATGTCTGAATTAGAAATCATCTCTAAACTGTCCACGTCAAAGCCACTCCTGTGCCTGTGCCAGCACAGCTATTGGAAGATTACAGTAGAATCGCATGGAGTTTATGGGAGCTGTGAAGATTACAGTAGAAATAGAAGGAGGTAGAAAAGCTAAAGTGTCTTTCCACATTATGGATGTCAATAGAAGGGATATTACTGGGTACAAACTCCTTGGACCAGTTGGTGTGAACGTGCATATATCACCAGAGCTAGATCCGGATAAGACAGGGTGTCCTCAAGAAAGGTAATAGTAGCCAGGAGGGCGTACATTACTCCGCATAGTGCAGCGATTGTGTCGGCTCGATGTGAGGGGCATGGTTATGAGGGAGATCGCCTCATTTGGCCACACATGACTGGGATGGTTGCAGGTGTGTATACCATCAAAGGTCGAAGTGTAGATGTATCCGTGGTGAACGATAGCGATGAGCCCATGATCTGTAGAGAAGGAGACGTGATAGGTCAGTGGGGGACAGAGAAATGGCGTGAGGGTTGGGAAGATGTGAACCCGCTCATGCTGGATAGTACATCCCCTGATATGAGTCCAGAGCAGAGGCGAACTTTACTGCTAGAACAGATTAAGGAGGCGTCAAGTGTAGAAACGTTGAGCGAAGATGTTGAGTCAGTTTTGGATGAGTTCCTGAAGTTTTCAGTAAATGATAGGGAGCTGACAGGTACAGATGTGGTAGAAATGAACATAGATACAGGTGATAATAAGCCAGTCAAGATGAAAACAAGGCCCGTTCCACTGGGCATGAGAAAGAAACTTAGAGAGCTCCTAGAAGATTTGGAAAGGAGGAAAGTGATAGAAAAAAGTAGTTCAGAGTGGGCTTTTCCCATTGTTTTGGTGGAGAAGAAAGATGGCAGTCTTAGATTATGCGTGGACTACCGCGAGTTAAATAAGAAAATCAAGCTTGACTCATACCCTTTACCCACGATAGACGCAGTATTGCAAAGTTTGTCGGGTAAATCGTATTTCTCGACTTTGGATCTTTGTAGTGGATACTGGCAAATCCCACTCACGGCTGAGGCACGGGAGAAATCAGCGTTCACAACGCCGGAAGGACTATTCCTTTCGTGTGACTCCTTTCGGACTGAGTCCGCCTGTGTTAGAGACTAATGGATACAGTGTTGCGTGACCTTCTTGAAACGGAAGTTTTCTGTTACATTGATGATATAATAGTCTGTACGGAAACGCGGGAAAGGCATATAGAGCTACTCAAACAAGTGTGTGCGAAGCTGCAGGAAGCAGGGCTCAGATTGAAAGCGCAGAAGTGTGTGCTGATGCAAAGTAAGGTACATTTCTTGGGGCATGTCGTGGATAAGCAAGGTATCCATATGGACCCAAAGAAGGTGGAAGCAATCACGAGTTACAAGGCTCCGGTGAACGTGGAAGGAACTGAGGACTTTCTTAGGGATGGCATCGTTCTATCGCAAGTTCTGTTTGGGGTTCGCGAAGCGAGTAGGATGTTTGTTTTCTCTCACGTCTCCGAAGACGGCTTGGAAGTGGACGCAGGAGCATCAGGAGGCGTTCGACAGTGTTAAGAAGATGATATCAACGTCGCCAGTGTTGATGCAGCCAAATATAGCAAAGGCTGTAAGAATAGGTGAAAACTCGGAGCCGATTCGGGTGCAGTTTGATGCGCTGAGTTGTTCCACCGTACATTCCAGATGATCGAATAGATACTGTCATAAGTAGGGGTAGAAAGGAAGAAAACCAAGAGTTCAGGTCAATAGAATAAAAGTTTTTGTTTCAGAGGCACACGCATAAAGTTCGAAGCTGGAAAAAGGACATCTCGAATACGTGTGTAAGGATGGATGTCTGAAGGACGTCAAGTTAGAGGAACTCCGTGGATTGCAGCTGCCGGGCGCTTTCGCGAAGAAACCAATGGGAACGTTGTGGAACGCATGGCGCGCAGCGAGTATCTTCATCAGATCGGATATCGACATGGCCTCGAAGATAAAATTCTGGAAGGACGGAGCAGTCTGTTTGGATGAGGAAGCACTGCAGAAAGTTCTTCGCCTGGCATACGAAAAGTGTCTCGATTGGACGGAATTTCGTTTGTGTCACAGAAGGAATCAGTAAGCACGAGAAGATCGACAACTATGGATTCGAGAAGACCTATGATGTGGCACTGAAGAAGGTCAAAAAGGAAATTGAGCTGGAAGAGAGGGCGAAGCGGCCCATCAAGGAGGGTTCGACAGCGTTCGCAGCACCAGCAAGTGCGGCGCTTTTGGAAAAGGACGGTCCCAAACGAGGAATCTCAACGAGAGTGACCGCGAGTTTTGGCCAGTTGAGAGAAGTACTCAACGAGTTCGAGACGCATGCGATTTGGGTGATCGTCTGGCCGATGAATGAGAAATTCAAGCAAGATGAGATAATGGAAATAGTTAAAGTTTGTCAAATGCATTTTGAAGAGAGGTGGTCGTTTGATTTCAGCCTGGCCCCCTGTAGTTGCGAAAAATTTGGATATGTGGAAAAAAATGGCTGATATCTGGAGGCTGATAGATAACGCCCTGGAAAAAAGGCGGGGGCAGGACAGTTTTTCAAAGCTTCCAATTCAAAAATTGAGAATGGCACAGTTTTTTGTGAGATCGGAGCCCCCGAAGGCTGTCATTTCTTTTTACAGCTCCGATTGTACCGTGGCATGCGCTAAGGCACTTTATGAGGGTATAAGGAAAAGGGTAGTTGGTTGGTTCCATTGCCCGAGCTCAAGAGGAACGAGATCCCGCTGCTGAGGGCAGCAGCTTCGGAGGGGGGAGGCATGTGGGAGGGCAGGTCATTGAGGGGCCCCAGGAAGCGCGAAGCGCCGTGATCGAGCAGGAACTAGGATGTATATAAGAGTTGTGGAAGCATGGTTAGAGGCCTCATTTTCGATCTGTTTTGACGCCGAGTCAAAACAGATCGAAAATGAGGCCTCTAACCATGCTGCCTCACCTCCCTCGATTTGGACCCACCTTTTGGTCTCTCTCGTTCAGTTTTTAGTAGTAGAGTAGTCCTTTTACTATTCACTTTACTGTTCATTTGATTTGTCGTTTATTTCATTGTAAAGCATTCTGGTTAATAAATTGTTTTCGTAGACACTGTCTTTCTTGTGCTCACGAAAACCGTCACTGTCGGTGTTCTACTTGATTGAACTGCCGGCCACACATCCGGTACACCTTCCAGAGCATTTCGGATTCGTCTCAAGCAAGTCACCTCAACTTAGCTATATTAAATGACCAGTTCACGGCGATCATATAGGCGTGTCCAGACACATTAATGCTTCTTTCTCATTACTGTGTCAATTCATCTTTCAGTACTTTCAATACTATAAACAGAGGGATGCTACGTTTAGGAACTGTCGAGATCATTGCTTGACTCCACCGGAGGATCAGCGCGGAAGGTTCCTCTGAGATTTTACGCGTTGTTCCAAGAATATTTCGCTAGATACAAGGCATCCGGAACGTGATGGCTGTATTGAATGATGTGACCAGTGAAATTCATAAGTAGCTTTCATAGCACTCACATCTGTTACAAAGACGTCCTTCATATCCGGCCGGACAGGAACAGGTACCATCCACATGGTTACATTTGGCCCCATTGACGCAAGCCGGACATTTGTTCGCACATTCCACTCCCCACGTTCCTTCAGGGCATTCTAAAACGATTGTCATCAGACAAACTTGGTCCATATTTCGAACAGAAAACTTCTCAGTGAAACATTCGCTTACTTTGTTCGCAGTTCTCTCCTGTGTATCCATGGTCACAACTACATTTGCCGGTTACGGGATCGCATCTAAAAATATCCCGAAGTGTTTCTCTCAGTCATATGAAAAAAACGATAGTACGCTCATTTGAATAACTATAAAAAAAACATATGTAATCACGTACTTATGACCGTCCGCGCACGTGCACTTGTTAGCGCAGTTCTCACCCCATGTGCCATCTTCGCAGCTGTGCTGACAGTTCGCTCCAGATCTGGAAACGATTTAGCGTGAGCGCTAATGCAGCGCAGGTAGAGGCCAGATCTGCTAAGTGATAGGTCAACACCGTTTTACGTGACGTGTAAATGACGTCACGTAAAACGGTGTTGACGTACCGTAGGACGTCACTTACAATGACGTGTGGATCTGATCGTCATTAACGTGTTATATGTCGTCAATGACACGCCATCTCTCGGCAAATCGAAATTTCAGGAAACTCAAATCATGATACTTACAGTTTCATGACAAAGTTTAGCTTCACAGTTTCATGACAAAGTTTAGCTCACCTCCCAATCGGACACTTCAGGCATGCTCCAGTCTTACTGTCACATGCTGATGGAACACCATCCAGCGTGCAATTGCTGCATGTCTCACCGCATCCAAAGCCAAAGTGTCCAGGCTTACATTCTGAAAAGAGCTGCTTTAGAGCATAGTCCACTCTAATCATAGGGGCGGAGCCGTTTGGATACTTTCTACTAGGATATCCTTTCTCCGACGTCACAAGGGTGATTCACCAATCAAAAATGGCAGTGCTAAATGAATGACTCCGCCTACCCATGTCTTTCTCGAAATGAATTTTTGAAACCATGAATCTATTCAAAAAAAAGCCTAACCTGACGAGCAGGTGTCGCCTTCCTTTCCAGGTCCACAGACGCATTTTCCAGTCTTCTGTTGGCAACTTCCACCATTGCAATCGCATTTCTTGTCACACTCATCTCCATAAAAACCGTTCTCGCACTGTGTAGAACAGTCCTCGCCTGAAAAATGAACACCCTTACGAAACACTACAAGGGAATCCCCTTCCAGTGTGTTATTGAAGTGTCAGCAGGTAAAGTGAGAAGAAAGGACGGCTTAAAAAAATCTTTATAGGAGCTTCACCACTCAATGACATACCTTTGAACCCGCGAGGGCAGCGGCATTCGCCAGTGAATCGGTCGCATTCGCCACCGTTTTTGCAACGACATGCGATGGAACAATGTGGTCCATAGGTGCCAGCAGCGCAAGGTGTGTCACATTTGGGTCCGGTCCATCCTGTAAAATAAAAGTTCAGAGGTCAGCTACAAGTAGACTCCACAGGGAATAGTATTGTTATTCGGTTCGGTATAAAAACCCTTCAAAGGCTGATAGGTGATGTTCACCATTAAATCCCCCCTTATAGCTTTTGAAGATGTAGTTATGTTAAGGGAAATTGAGCGTTGATCGTGTGGGCGGGGACAGAGAACGATTGTGACTCCTCATCAGCTATCAGAATGGTATACACGAGCGCGCCAATGAGGGTATAAAAGAAGGCCTGACTGCACTCATACAATCATCTTAGAGCGTGTCATCAAGTAATTCAGTTACTAAAGAGTAACTTGTAGTACTATTTGATCAACGGAACAAAAAGATACTGAGGGGATAGCCACATAGAACAGCTTCGAATTAAAAGAACAACATATACCTGTAGCACAGAAGCAATCGCCAGTGACTGGATCACATCCAGCGCCATTCCTACACTGACAGGGAGCACAGGACTCACCAAAGTGACCAGCTGGACATGATATCGTGCAGAGAGCACCGTGAAAGCCTAAAATTCGTCAAAAATATCCAAACCCATCTATGTGTGAATGTACAACAATACTTGAAAAACTCTTCATCTACCTAACGGTAAGAATGACCTGATAATCCTGTCACAATGAAGGTCCCGCTTCTTATTCCTTCCACAAAGCCTACTTGAGCCTATTCGCTCGCCCTCGTCCCGTGTATTTCTTTTCCTTACTTTTGTATTCATTTTTTTCACAGCGCTATTTCCTGTTTTTTTAATTCAATTGCACAGGTCTGTGGCACACCTCTAGAGTGTACAAAAATAAATTAATCAATTAATTAATAAACAAACAAATAAACAAGTAAATAAACATTAAAGTCGCAGTTTGAGTGGGGATCCTCCCAAAATCCCAGAACCACTTCCAGACCTTGCTTTGGTTGAATTCTAGCTTGGATGGTAATCAGTACAACCACGGGTTCGCCGACATTAGGGTTCATGGGATGGTCATATAATACCTCCGAAAATTCCCACCAATCACATGGTGGAAAGAGGGTATAGGTTTCCTATTAGGTAAGCATCCCAAAGCCTAACGTAGCCCCATTGCTTTATCCGGAATGTTACTACCACGGCACTTCGAATGTTTGGGACCTCCAGCGAGAGGCAGGGGGTCGTATTCGGTCGGTGGAGCGAGAGAGGTCGTGTCTGGTTTTCAGAAAAAAAATTATTGGTTGGGACTGCGCAACTTCGACTCTTCCCACTTATACCCAAAATTCAATATGACCAGGAAAAAAAATTATCCTTGCATTTTTCACAGGAGACATTTGAACTCACCATTACGACATTTGCATGAACCATCTCTTTTGTCACATACACCATTCTCTCCACACTGACACTTGAAGGCACAGTCCAGTCCAAAATGGCCATCAGGACAGTCATCGGCACATCTATGAACAGATAGGTTAATAGAAAGCAAAAATTATTTTTGAGAAAAAGCTGACCATGATAAGCGGTTCTACGTGCCGCTACACTACCCTTTACCACTACTTCCTGTATTATATGCTCTTTTCATTCTTAGCAGGTCTGTATTCTTTGAAGGGCGCTTATCTGTAGATGTAGGGAGCGGTCGTTCACGGAACGAGAAAAGCTGTTTGAACTGCACTGCCAGCCCTAACCACCTCCCCCTTATCTTCCCCGGCTGGGATTTTAATTTATTTTTCATTTCTGAGGGAAAAAAACTTAAATGTAAAAGGCGCAACAATCTTGTAACGTTCCTACTCTGTTGCTCTTCTATTCCAAAAAAAAAAGCAAGTACTTCTGGAAAACCGTCTAGTCGCTGAGTTTACCTCGGGATCTTTTGCGGCGAAACGGGGAGTCACCGGATCATGAAAAGGCCCTGAGGGTTTCTCATATCTGGAACACCCTTCTGGTCCCCTCCTTACAGGAGGACATTTTCGGAGCTATTACACTCATAAAGATGAGTTTAAGCTCTCCCCCCCCCACAATTACGCTGTGGAACCTCCAACACGAAGGCTCAAAGCCAAGCTGACAGTGGAGGTCATGTGGTCCCCTTTCGAATGACCACTTGGCCGCCGGAAAAAAACTCACTTTGCTCCGGTTCGACCCGGTAAACAAACACATCTACCGCTTGTTGGCTCGCACTCTGACGTCACGTTATAGTCGCACTCGCATTTGTTCGCACAGTCTCGACCTGAATAGGGTGAAGAGTTACGACAGTGTGACACCACCAGATAAATATGTTTTTCATCCAGAAGGTAGATGGACAAAACAACTTATGAGTGAAACCCCTCGGCCACGTTCTGAATTATGACGCTGAAGAATTGGAGGTTCCGCATAAAGGATTCGATACGTATCGAGCGCTGTTTGGCTGGCTTGGAAGGGGCAGTTTACACTTTCGCTAGTTTCTTGTGCTAGTTCATGTTAGTAACAGGTATCAGTGAGACAAGTAAACTCTTGTGAAGCTCAGATATCATAAAAAGTGAGCCACTTTGATACAAGGAACCAAAGGTTCCTACAAGGTGGTTTTCACATGCTTAGGTGCCCCAGTAAGCGAATTGGGCCGAGTATTGATCCCATCGACTCCGCCCAAGTGGTGAATAGGAGAATTAGCGGAAAGAACTTGATATAGTCGGAAGAGGTCTTAGTCTCGAGTTCAAGGATAGGAATTCGGCGCTTCGGCGACGGCTAGGGGGACATTATGCGCTCCCGCTGCTTCACTAGTTCCGTTTACAAGTCTCACTCTGATGAAACCCGTGAACTCTTGTGAAGCTGGAACAATCTCGTCAAGCTGCGTCGTAAAACCTGTTAACTCTTGTAAGCTCATGAAACAGCTGTACAGATGGGTCGGCCGTCGATGGAGAGTAGCAAAAGTGCGAAATGCCCCCCCCCCCAGTCGCCGAACTGCCTTGGAAAATCGGTAACGTTTGTTCTCTCCCATAGACTCTGTGGCTCTTTTCGTCGACTCTCCTTTTGGACCATCGTGTCGACAAAATCGATTTGTACCTGATCCATTTCTCGTGCTCTACGATCCTCTACTGACGCAGTGTATAAATGTTGCCTAAGCAGACACGTGAAAGGGCCTAAACTCACCCCAGAACAGCTTAGAGCAAATACGTTCACATGAATCCCCAGCGAAACCAGGTTTGCATCGACAATAACCGGTGTCAGGAGCACATCTGTAAGAAAAATGTTGACCTTCGAGGTCCTAACAGGAAATAGCATGCACTTACGATTCCGTATTCTCCATTATACAGGTGCATTGCTTGGAGCAGTCCTGCCCATACATATCCTCATCACATACTGAAATATTCTCAGTAATTCCGCTATTATAAAAGTTCTTTTATGTTTGTGATCGTTTTCGTCACGCA